GTTACCACCACTAACCAACACACCCATAAAATCGCTATTATCTTTTTCTAAAGGATTTATCAGCTGACATGTTTCATTTCTTCCTCACCAAAATATTAGCTCCATAAATACAGGGATATTGTTTTCTGTATGTTAACTGTACTACTTAGGCACTAAAATAGTAGACATCAAATAAATATTTGTTGAGTGAATTAATACTTTAACTCTTCCTTGAGGTCAACTGCATTTTTTACCTGGTTGAATATAATCAAATCTGAATTTCAGGGAATTAGCATTATTTTCTATAAAGTAATATCTTCCCTCAAAAAAAGGAGGTTCCCCCCCCCCGCTCAATTTCAAATGAGAATAATTACTCCTTGGACCTGCTTCACTCTGTACAACCATGATTATAAGGACTCACATTTATTCCACTTTAATCCTCATCTTCCTAAGCCTATTTGTCTATCTAATCTTTCTAAATCCTAGGGTTTCTCATCATCTGTCTTGGTTTATGCTATTATAATCCTAATATTCTTTTGCCAGCTCAAACTCTTCATTATTTACTCCAAATCTGGTGGAAGCTAAACAATGAAAAATATCAACTAGCATGAGATCAGAGATAAGAATATTCCTGCTTCTAAAAAGCCAGGAGAGTTATATATAAAGCTCCAGTTCCAGAAAAATAAAAAGGAGATATTAATGATGAGGCATGGATCACAAAACATAAATTTTTAGCCTCTCCTTTCCTTCCATGTGTTTCCACATTGACCACAGACTGGGTTCTGATGGTGCAATATCTCCCAGCTTGCTGTAAACAGATTCAGTGCTGCTAGATTGGACTCCTTTATCCACACCCCACCCTTTGTCCAGTGTGTGCTCTGTCTGTCAGGTCCTTCTGAGTTCCTAGGTCAATGTCAATGGAGCCAGGGTATTTATAAAGAGCCTTGCCCACTACCTCTCCAAACTTGGAGTCTGTGGGTTCAGCCATGCATTTTGGATAGACTCCTTAGATCTCCTTTGCTTTTAACCACAGACCTGGGATTGGAAACACCTGGGGGGGCTATGCATCACCTGCATGCAACCACAATGCAGAACAATTATCTGCTCCAYTGCTATGTGGATGGCTCCCCATCTTCAGTTCTAACCACAGAAGCCTATTTCTTTCATTTTTACTTCTAAGTCTGCACTCTATGAACCTGAGTCTCTGGCACTCAGTTCCCAACCTCGTTTTGACCAATCTCCTTTCCCAGAATCTCCCATACCAAGTCTACTTTCATCCCTGTTCCCAAAGGATGGCCACCACTTACATGCTCCCAAGAGCATCTAGCTGTGCCACCACTTTCCTGACTAGRTATCTCTTGAGCAATAGCTTTTGAGAATTATAATGTGATGAATTATACTTCATGAATAGGACAGATCAGACAATATTAAAGAAGGTACCAATAATGACACAAAAAAATAGCATGGGAAAATGCTGATGATATTTATAAAACAAATTTTCACTGTGCTTAAACAACAACAAAACTGAACTTGGTATGGTGTGTCCCACCATAGCAACGTCACCAAGTTACACTCTACTGCCAGCACTCAGCCAGGCCCCTTTCACCTTGACTCCCTCCCACATATCCACCTTACCTCATCTACCTCATAGTTTCTAGTTTCAACACGTTCCCAACTCCTCACAAACTCTGGGGTAGCAAGAACTCATGTGTCTTACACCCACATCTCTGTTCACCTTTTAACATTCTAGCCTAGTTTGGCTCAACTCACTTGCCTCAGTCTGTAAAGGAGAAGGGGAGGTGGAGAGAAGCAACATAGGTGGCAGATAATCAATAGACAAATCTGCAGTGAGTTTGAGAAGCGGTTAGTAGAAATGCTGCCTGAGAACAAGGTTGGCTGCCATCGCTGGGTACATGGGGCTGACAAAAGCATTCATCTACCCAGGATTTATGCAGACTCTATAGCAGTGCTGGATGTGGACAGACCCAAGCTGGGGAGGAAAACTTAGATTGGCTTATGACACCAGTGACCAAGGATGTTCAACTGGTACTGYTCTCTCAGATCTTATTTAAAGTGAAAGAAAAACAGAAATTCTAAAAAAAACAAATGAATAATGATAAACATTTTATTGTCCCTGTTGGCCAAACTATATAAATACGTCCTGTTATAGAAAAACACTAGACTTTTGATCCTTCTAAAACCTGAAGTACTTGAGGATAACGCCTGAGTAAACACAGTCTATGCCCTTTTTTATTTCAGTTCAACTCAGCAAACTGCGGKTGGACCTTCCAAAATGCCAGATGGAGAAAAATAGAATACYGATTTTCCAGCTCCTTTTATTCTTCCTAGTCTTCTGTTTTCAATTCTGCTTTGCTCTGGGGTTCTCTTGGCTCCCAGGTTCCTATTATAACTCCCGTTTCTGATTTTTAAAATCTGATTTGGATCAGCTTACCCGACTTTCTCCTGGCATGTGCCCAGCCGGCCTGCCTGCACAACTGGAGCCACCGGTTTCACTGACACTGTAACCYTCTGCCTACAAAAAGGGCTACTCTCAAACAGAATGCAGGATTCCCTGGAGCATGCTATTCTCCAGGGACTTTCTCTGTGTCTCCTGTTTGTTTACCATGGAGACAGCAGTTTAGGTGATAYATGTTTACCATGAGACCAGGAGTACACGGGCTATAGTGATGCTGAGGAGAAAAGACAAGCAGCTATTTATATGCTACACAAAGATGTGGCATGTAATGAGCATCGGAGGTGTGAARAACCTATAAAACAAAAAGAAAAATCACAGATTCCTTCCTGAACATGGTATGAACACACAATTAGAGACAGATAACAGCCAGGACAGATAAATGGATTATCAACTGCATGTATGTGGTAATCATGATTAACCCATTAAGTCCCAAGTTGTCAATGAAACTGACACAGGTGAATTAAACTAGATCGGAAATCAGAATGTAGAGTTTATATATCCTTTATATATATATTTTCATACATGTATTTTTTTTTCAAATGTTCTAATCATTTACCTATTACTTTGCTCAAAAGACTAGACTTCTAAAAACAGAATAATTACTTCTAACTTTACCATGAGTGGTGCACATGTTGCTCAACTTAAGTTTTTATAGGTGTTCCACACCTGGGGCGATGGGATAAAATGGGATAGTGTCTTYTAGCTCTACCAGTGTAGTCTAATGAAACTACTCTGGATTATTCTTGAGGCATGATAGTGGAAAACAAAAAAGTGGGGATTTAGCCTAGGAATCTCCCCAGCTTGGGTGTGCCCAGAGTCATTGTTAAAATAAGTCTCTCAACAGGGTGAATATATTCTGTGATCCTAGTCCTACCTMTGGCCATTCTGGCTCAAACTAGCCAGTTTCCGAATGCCAAAAATGAAAACGTGGTTGTCAAGAGGATATGCTAAAGGTGGAAGACGTTCACCAACACAGCTGAACCAAAAACACCACTAAGGGAAGCTGAACTCCAACGTGACAAAATACCAGAACCTGTTCTTGAGAAAAAAACACTTCTATTCTCACACAGGAATTTTGTGTGAACTACATGTGTGTTTGCCAGGCACACCAACATCTTGTTGCACACATTTCTTTTTAGATTAGTTTATGTTACTTAAAGAACATCAACAAAAAGCAGTTAATAAAAAGAAAAAAAAGGAGGCACCAAGAGTTTGTACCAAGAGCACACTCAAATGTGAAACACCTATGAATTCTGCTTTTGGACTCTAACTACAAAAAGTAAGAAAAGCCACAAACTGCTCTGCTTCTTTAAGACACAGGAACACTGGTGAGCATTCACAATTTTCCTCCACTGAAAATCTCACTGAATATAACAGGGAAGTCATTGAATACTATGTCTTTTTATTATATCCAAGTGATTTTCACAGTAGGCAATCTGCAAGTGCGCCACAGGAGCCCCACACTTTGCAATAAAATGGCATTGTGGATACAGTTTTATGTGCGATCCTTTTCAGTCCAGGGCACTGTCTGGTTTCCTTATTCTTGGTCAAATTGAATGGGAAATCCATAAAGAGGGAATRAGAAGAGGAAAAACACATAATGAGTTCTTTTTTTTTGCCTTTATCAATAATAAAACCATGCTCTGTCAATTACTGAAGTGGTGAATGTATATCACACTTTGAAAATAAACTAAAAAAGGTTTTTTGCATTGCTAAAGCAATTGGTAGACAAGCCACTGGCAACAGGAACAATAATAAAAAAAAAAAGTCAGTAAATTCAGGTGGATTCTGGCTTGCTTTCCCTACACATATGGTGCAATAATGTGGCACATGAGTCAGAGAAACACTTCTTCCCATCCCCTTTCTCCAAATGAGCCTAATATAAAATCTATTTGGTAAGGACATTTTGCAAGGCATCCTATGTGCTTAATTTTCTTTAAACAAGGCATTAATAAAATCACAGTAGCATCTAATAAGATTTTTAATTCCTTAAGGGTAGGAACCATGCCTAATCTTTAATGAGTCCAATTGAGTAGAAGCATTAGTTTGCCTCTTGGTAGGAAACAGCAACAGAATAGTCCTAGTCCTATGAGGCTGTATTACTGCAGGTTTCAAAAGGAAATGAGAATCACACTGTGTTTACTATAAATGACTGGTAATGGTCAATGTACCTGTCTGTGCTTAGTAAAGACTGCTTTCCAGAGCAAGCGAGCACAGAAACTGAGCACAAGGGTATCAAGGAATGAAGTGGGACCTTTGGAAAGTCATTGCTAGTTTACTGCAGAATGAGTTCCTGTTTGCAACTGCATGAGCAGTGTGAAGATCAAGCCTACAGTGCATGATGCTGAGATACTGAAGTTCAGTAACCTGTTCCCCAGGGACACCAGAGCATTCTGAACACAGTCACTGCCACAGGAGGATTTTATGCCAGACCTGGAATCACTGAAGAACAGAATTTATAWAAAAAAAAAAAATCTTTTTCCCTACTTTGTAAAAAAGTCTCTGGCTAGTTAATACAAATTTAAGATAAAGTGATAATACTCACAAACTCCGGGGTTCGGAAATCCTGCTGACTTTCCAAWGATCCAAAATTGGGAACAATTGTCTGTTCAAAGTTTTCCAACACTGAAAATAGATAAGTAGATAAATAAAGCATGAACTTTCATTGGCTGAATACAGGAATGGGGCAACTAAGAACTGTAGCTCTCTTACAGTTTTACATTATTTAACACTTTCAGTTATCAGAAACACTCAAACCCTTCCACAGCTGTTTCATCCATGGGATAATGCCATATTGGAAGGATATTAGGTCTTAAAATTCCCCAGGCTGTCTAGCATGGAAAATCACTTAGCTTCTACACAGCAACTAGATGTTATGAGTCTAGCTAAGAAACTCTTTAGTCTACTAGTACTCTTTTTTCTGCAATTTCTCAAAATACTGATGGGGAGTCATTCTGGGTTAGCAATTTTAAAATATGTTAGCAACATATGACAAATATCATGGGAATCAAGTAAAATTTTTTCATTTTAAGAAACTTAAAAAGAAAACAAATTAATTTTATCTCATAATGCCCCAATTATCACTTGAATACATATCTAAAAATTGTTAGCAAACTATCTTTACATTTTTCTTGGATTAAGTCTTAGGAAATCACTGAACTTTTCATAAAGTGCATTTCAATGCAGGCTAGCCATATTTCAAAATTTCATAGCCCCACATAACTAGTGGCTACAATATTAGACATGTGCAGTGTTTAGAGGGATAGAGGAACCAAATCCGGTAGATGCATTATTCTTTAAGAGACTGTTCTATCTTGTCAATAAGTTATGGACAGAATGAAAGATTATTCCAGAAAAAAAGACACTGAGAAAACAATAAAATCATATATCATGTGTAGTTTTGAGTTAGATACTGATTTAAAGAAGTGTAGGAAAAAACATTATGGGCTTCAGAAATAGCTCTGCAGTAAGCTGATTGCCTAGCATGTGTGAGGACCTGGGTTCGATCACTAATGTCACAAAAGTTGGGAAAACTTGAATATTGGTTAAGTGTAAGATTATACTAAGGAATTATCATTAATGATAATTGTAACAATATAACTTCAACTACATAAGAAAATGCTCTTGATTAAATTTAAAGACATTAAACAGCTAAAATACAGTTTAATATTTAAATCAATTTGAATAGACATTCTCATTTATTAATGGGCCTACATCTCTTCAACAAGTCAATGACATGAAAAAGGGATGAGGTTAAAATTTAAAGAGTGCTGCTGTAAGCCCAGCTACCCAGGAGGCTTGTAGGAGAATCATAAGTTTGAGGCTGAGGTCAGCCTTGAAAACTTAGACCCTGTCAYGAAATAAAAAAGGCTAGGGATATAGCTCAGTGATAAAGCAGCCCTAGGTTCAATCTCCAGTACCAGTCACTCCCTCCAAAAAACCAATTGAAGAGTATTAAGGGACATACAACTGCTAACAGTATGTGGTCCATGACTGGTCCTAATTTGGACAAATTAGGTTTTGATACAGAGTCCCAGCACATTTAAGTACAGAATAGGTATTAAAAGAAATTGTTTTTAATTTTATTGTGTGGTATTACCTTAGCTTTGTAGTGACTTGTTTTAACACAGTATTTTTTTTTAATTTATTAAAGGCTTTTGTGAAAGAGAGGACTGAGTTATCCTCAATCCAAATAAATTTTTCCCTTCAGTGACCCAAAAGGTGGCTAAACATCTACAGGGGACATCTGTAAGAGATCTCTCAGTGACTAATTACAAAACAAAATATCAGCCAACAATGGAGCCCATTCAGTTACCAAATCCATGAAATCTCAATATCTCAATTACATTTTAGGTTCAAATTGATTCTGGGAGAAAAAAAAAAAAAGGTACTTTTTTGTCCATTTAACTTATTTCTTTGTACCTATTATGACCTGAAAAGAAAGGCCAGTAGAAATGATAGCACAAAGAAGTGATTCTAATTTTTTGAAAATCTGAGTTCATCAGAGGACCCCATGTGTGAACCAGAGCAAAAATGGGAAACAAAGAAGCAAGCCGAGGCTTGACAAGCAGCAACCAAAGGCGAGACTGTGGTGCTCACCCCTGAGAACTACGGGAGGGCTACAGCAATTCTGCAGTGTTACACTTGAAGCATCGTAACRTAATAAGCTGGTTATTCCAACAGCAGAACAACAGCTGTCCAAGATAATTACATTCCTGCAGACCACCTTTAAAACTTGATAAAATGTGCTTGTTTATACACCAAGCTATGGGAAGAGTTTTGTAAATTGGTTGTGGAGCTTGGCTTACATCTAGAAGATAAGGCCTCACCTTTTTATAGCATCAAGAGAGTGACAGGAGAAATTACATCTGTGGTATTTATGATGCGTTGTTTTATGGCATATATATATATATATAATACATATATATATGTATTATATATATATATTATATATATATATATATGCATTATAAATGTAATGATGTGACTTCAMTTTGACATCTTATCAGGATTCCTGTATGAATGTCTGATGTATCTATTATGTATCTGGGGTCAACAGATGGATAGGGCTACTGTAGTAGGGTTTTCTTTCTTTCTTTCTTTCTTTAAAAAACAGGCTTAAGAAAGTATGCATTTTGCCTAAAGACAGAGGCAAAACAAGATGTATTATACAGATGTTCTATCAAATGAAAGGCATCAATGCAACGTGAAAGTATTTGTGAAAGAAAATATAGAACTATTGACAATTTTAGTTATTCTTCTGTTAATGGAAAGTAACAGATCCACTGGTTCATGTCAACACAAAGGAGAAACTGTATATTTGAGTGAATAAAAACAGAAATGGCTTTATTGTAATAGCACCTARGAAGAACAAAGCCTCAGCCCATGACCTATTATAGCACACAGAAGCAAATGRTTTATGAAGCTAATATGATAATTACACTTCTACTACTGAGGGTTCCAGCAAATGACATTCTCATTTCTGGTAAGCTAATATAGCTGGAAAATAATTCCATTTCTCAGGGGAAAAAAAAGTCAAAATTAAGGTGACATTTGAGGTCTTTTTATTAAAACATGCAAAATTAGGGAGGAAACTTCTGAAAAAGCAAAATGTTAATTTTCTTTCTTTGTAAAAATMATTTTTTCTTAATATATTTTGGAATGTGTTTTTAGTACCGTCACTATGTCTTGATTTTATACAACAGAAGTGCCACCTTGAATAGCATCACCATTAATTTATTTAATTTCATCCTTTGGGACCTCTGTGTTAGCATAGTTCATCAATAGGCTGACTAGAGGACTAAAAGCTAGTTGTTCTAAYATGATGTGAAAAAACTTTGGTCTTGACACATCGATGGAATTTTGAGCGGATGCACAATGAAAGGGCAAGTGGAAGTCAAGTTCAACAAATATTCCCTACCCATTGTCTCTGTTGCACAGGCAGGGCATTTTAAGATTTAGGAATACCAAGTTTCCACTTCCTAAGGAAAGGAATTCAAGACATGATTAATGTTAATTTCAGTACCATTTATAAATACCAGGCTAKACAGATATACAGAGTGCTGTAACAATACTATCAATAGGCTTACTACTGGGAAAAATCAATACTTGAGATTTATGTCAAAAGAAACCCGCTAAATGTCTTTCTTCTCTTTCTAGATTTAATAATAAATTAGTCAGGTACAGTGGGGCACGCCTATAATCCAGGGACTCTGGAGGCTGAGGCAGGAGGATAGAAAGTTTGAGGTTAGCCTCAGAACGTAGCAAGGACCTAAGCAACTTAGTAATATCCTGTMTCAAAAACTAAAAGGGCCTGGGGAGGTGGCTCAGTRGTTAAACACCCATGGGTTCAATMCACATCTCCCCAAAATAAAAACAAAACCCCCAAGCAAAATAAATTAATCATACATCAATTAGCTAAAAATGAAAGGAATGGAGAGCATATTTTAAAAACTTTCCCAATGAAGTTAGAATAGTAAGACTGAAGCAATAAAATCCTTGGTACTAGTTCTGGCTTACTTATTTGGCAATCCAAAATGAAGGGTTGACAGACCTACCTAGATGCTGGGTCATATTAATGGGYTAATAACAGGGCATTGTAAGCCTCACCAGAAAGCTTCGGTTCACATGTATAYTTATTTGTCTACCAATTATAAATGGAATAAATTAAAATTTATTATCCCAATTGTGAAACACAGTGATAACCTGTACAGCAAAGTGGACTACAATTTTAATGTAAACTGGCTAATCAAAAGAACCATTATCTACAATTTTATAACAATCTATTGCCCAACAGAAAACACAAAAAACGACCTCTCAGTAAATTCACRAGTCAAAACCAAAGTGCATGATAAATAGTGCCCTATGAATGAAGATAATCAGACTCAGGCACCCTCACTTTATCTAATTTACAGTATCAGCAAGGCAGCTGGTTGAGTTCAGCTGACTTATTTATTATGGTGATTGTACCATAGAAATGATCAAAGATATAGTGAATATATGAGAGGGAGCAGGTAAATATATACCAGGACTTGGAGCAAAGGGCACCAGGTACGGACTAGGGGAATCTAATAGGTTCATGTTCTGAATCTCCAACTCTTTAGCTGCATGATCCTGGGTAATGTTTATTATTAGTTTATTTGCCTGAAGCCAGTGATAACATTACTTTCCCTGATGATCTCAGAAGGCAGGGCAAAGATACAAAYGACAATTTGAAAGCATGGTATAAAAGATAAAGTACTAAATAAGTATAAATTAAGTTCATATGCACAGATTCAATGTGAAGAAAGCRAAGTTTACTGAGTATTGATTTATGCCTGTCATTTTTGAATGTCTAATTCCATTTAACCCTATTTTTCCCCCTTTTCACAGACAATGAATAATAAATTCAAGGTTGTTACATCAAGACATCAACTAGAAGCTACACAAGGGTAATCTGAACCTGTCTAATTCCAAAATTGGACTTTTTTTTTTTTAAATACATTTTGTCTTCTGGGCTGCTGTAAATAATCCAAAGGAGAACCCTAATGTGAGACACAAATTGATAAGGAATTAAAATCACACCGTCAATATAAATTTTGAAAAATATCAGCAAAAAACTGCTTCAGTGCCAGATAGATATGACA